CACTATAACTTTTCCTAGAAGTGTTTGCTGGTTTTAGTCTAGCCAGATGGCTTTGAAGCTCAGTAATTTGTACTTTTAACTCTGTGACCAGATCATTTTGAGAAGTTGCAGGTTGGGCTGATTTTTGTGGCTTCAATCTAGTCAGTTGACTCTGCAGCTTGGTTATTTGTGTTTGCATATCAGCAAGATCAGTTTGCATTGTGGGTTCACAGGTATTTGGGGTAGCAGCAATAGTATGAGAAGCTACTTTTGGTTTGGCAGCAGCAAAGTGTTTTTTCATTCTGCTCTCTTTTGCAGTATGTTTGTCCTCTTCAACTCTCAACTGTAGCAGTAGCTCAGTGAATGAAGGTGGTTTGTCCTTTTTTCTTTCGAGTTGAAGCTCTGCCAACAGGGCATTATCCCAACAACCCCGGCAGAATTGACGCAGGAGGTGTCGGTCTGATTCACTAGCCACTGCCCCGCCTCTGCTCAATGCTTTGCAGAGAACTGTCTGCAAGCGGTGAAGATAATGAGAGGGCTTTTCGCCTGGGTCTTGGAATGTATTAAGAAATTTAGCGAAAAGCTCATCACCATCTTCTACGGTGCCGAAAGCTGAATTTAACAGTTCAAGGTAAGCGGTTGGCAATGCTTTAGGCCCCAAGGGTTTTACAACATTGGCAGCAGGTGGACCTAGACTGTCTAAAATCTTTCGTGAGCGTTGCAAGTCAGACAGATCAGAATCTTGAAGTATGAGCTCAACACTGTTGCGCCATGTGTCAAAGTCAGCCTCGTGACTGGGACAAGGTAGTTTGCCTGAAAACTGTCTTAGACGAAAAGAAGAACTCACATGTGAGACAGGAGTTTCATTTCGGACTATATGTTCCACAATCACTTTTTGCACCTCCGGATGAGAGATAAAGTTCTGGGGTATGTTGGAAGACAGATCATGTCCACGTTGGTCAGCTGTTTGAACTTCAGAGTCAGTGTTGCTTGAAGTAGTAAACTGTTCAAAAGGTTGGTTACTTTCTGATGCTGATTTCGTTATGTCACTTTGTGTTGCACGAAAATAATGCTCAGTTTCTGGGAACTTAGGGCTGCTTGCATCTGACTGAGAGCATTTAGACAAATGCTCGTGTAAGACAGCTTCAAATGATTTTCCGGTCAACTTGGCAATTTCTTGCAGTTCACAGAAGAAATGGTGGGTGGCCCTYTTTGTGACAGCTGACATGTACTCACTTGAAAGGGCTTTGATTTTATAGGTAACTTTGTTTGGAACCTCAAGTATGTAAGGGAGTAAAGGTTCAAGTGTTGTCAAGGCAGCTCCACTCTCATACTCCACGATGGCGTTTTTGTGGTAAGATGAAAGGGGATCATCTATTTTAAAGGTTCTCATAATTTTCCCATACTTGTTCAGAAAGTCCATTAAAGTTTCATCAACTTCTGTATCAGTAATCCCGCTAACAATAACTGAGTTTGGTACTTTGATGTTTTCTTTGTCAACAACTTCCATTTTGCCYGACTTGGCCTATTTTTATTTTTTTGGTCTGGGTCAGAAATAAATGTTTAGGTTGTGATTACTGCTCCTGGCTGGCTCGCCAATTCTGTAGCACCTTTAATGTGGCTACAGTAAATAGTTATACTTGAGACCAGTACTAGGTTCGGCTATGGGAGCAGATAATAGATGTAAATGTAATAATGACCACAGACCAGTGAATAACTTTGAACTGCCGGCTTATTATTTAGAAAAAAAAAATAAAATATAAAATTTTACAAACAGTTTACACACACACAACACAATTTCAACAAGAAAAATAAAACTGTTCCCTGGCTTTTCCTTTGAAATTTCAGCTATAAACCCC